ATTGAGCATTTAAAGTTAAACATTCCGGCTACAACCCGTTGTGAGGAACGGAAGTTATAGAGGTTAAAGCTCCACACTTTTGTTACAAACGACATTATTGTGACAATGTGGTCAGCATTGAGCATTTAAAGTTAAACATTCCGGCTACAACCCGTTGTGAGGAACGGAAGTTATAGAGGTTAAAGATCCACACTTTTGTTACGAACGGCATGATTGTGGCAATGGGGGTCAGCATTGAGCATTTAAAGTTAAACATTCCGGCTACAACCCGTTGTGAGGAACGGAAGTTATAGAGGTTAAAGCTCCACACTTTTGTTACAAACGGCATGATTGTGACAATGTGGTCAGCATTGAGCATTTAAAGTTAAACATTCCGGCTACAACCCGTTGTGAGGAACGGAAGTTATAGAGGTTAAAGCTCCACACTTTTGTTACAAACGACATTATTGTGACAATGTGGTCAGCATTGAGCATTTAAAGTTAAACATTCCGGCTACAACCCGTTGTGAGGAACGGAAGTTATAGAGGTTAAAGATCCACACTTTTGTTACGAACGGCATGATTGTGGCAATGGGGGTCAGCATGGCAAACACGCCTCATTTACTTTCCAGGCAAGCTGGGACCCATGAATATGAATATGTTTGGACTTCAAGCTGCCATTGGGGATTGAAGCCCAGTTCTTCATTATGACTGTTCAGTGCCTCAACCACTGAACCATCGTAGTTCATCACGTAACTTAAAATTCAAATATTTAGGTCGAGCTTGATTTTTGACTACTTTGTGCCAAACATGATAAGATGTTAACAAGAAGTAATATACTAAATTGTACAGTTACAACATCTACACAAAATTAGAATTTAAAAAACACATAAGTCTTAAGAAAATCACCACTTTTATTAATATCCAAATTAATTTTCAAGTGGAAAGCGCTGTCATAATAAATTGATAATATAAACGACTAAAATTAAATCTATTTATTATTCTTAAGATAGAACACAATTGATAGTTGATAAATTAAAGTAAAAAAAACACTAAATAAAATAGCGCAAAATGGTATTGCATACATTCTAGCTAGGATAAAAGAAAAAAATTTTAATAATTAAATAATTTAAAATAATTAAATAATTTAGAATAATTAAATAATTTAAATAATTAAATAATTTTAATAATTTAAAAATTTTATAGTTAAATAAGTAGTGCTCACATAATATTTTTACCAACCATACTGTTTTAACATCAGAAATTTCTCCTCTCTTGTACAGAGGCTTAATGAAGTCAACAACTGTTACAGTAGCAGCGGAATTCAGGCACGATGAAATGGTGCTCAATGAAGCGCTGAAAAGACCTGCTATACAAATGCCAGTCATACCAGGAATGGAACTGAATTTTTTAATAATGTAATCTGGAACAATCTAAAATCAATACGAAATAGTTATTTAGGATTGACAACGCGAACATGTTATTCTAAATAGGTGGTTACTTCAATATCATTCTCCTCCAAAATCTAAGTTTTCTGAAAATATTTGAGCGAATTATGGATTCTATAAATTATATAATGATGACGAACTTTAAATTTAGAAAACGCGCTTTGTATTGTTTGTATGATATAAAATTGTCTCGAATATGATGTGGTGTTAGTTTTATATTTTCTTTTTTATTTTAGTTCCTTCATTTTTCAGGTGAGTGAATTATGGTATTTAGGGGCATATTTTAAAACTTTTTAATTCAGAAATAGAAAATTAAATTTTCAGTAGTAGCAGAAATC